CTGTCTTTTGCATGGATTTACACTAACGAATGTTACACTTGTACGCCTTCGATGTGTGACATATGGCAAATTTTATTTCCCATAAATACTACTCTAAAACACTTCGTTCCAATTTTATAAGGCTCGGGCACCGGATTGACTATCATTCCTGAGCAGATTATCAAGCCACCGTGGACCCCCTTCAAGTTTACGTGTAGTGCAAGTACCGGAGTGCGTGTCTCGGTGGTCTTCGCGCGAGATAAAAAGCCCGTAGAGCTGGATCCCCGATTCATCGTCTCGCAAAAGGGAGAAAACTCCGTTGAAGTAACCGCTCCAGGTGGTCTCCTCCGAATGGATGCGAATGAGGAAATTGAGTAAGTCCCACAGCCCTTTTCTCCACTGTCACATGAGAATGGCATTCTGCGATCAGTCCTGACTACAGGATGCAGGAGGCTAGATTAATTCTTGTTTCGGACTCACACAGACGCAAGGTAGTAACTAACAGTCAGAAATCAAGAAGCACAGCCAGTTAAGACAGGGGAGACTGAAACAATCATTGCAGTTTGATGATAAGACCGGCGATCCTGAGCAAGTCCACTGTAGGCCCCACAACAGGGTGAGCGAATGGGTGGTGACTTACGCGTTAATTAGTTGCTAATGCTAGCCAACTCGCACAGCATCTACCGCACTCTCTCCTCCCTTCCGCACTTGGACACAGTGTTAAGAGAGTCAGGCGGACTGAAAGCAGGGTCAAGTGTCGGTGAGTGGCGCGGATTGGGCCTGCACTTAAGCATGCCACCACACCCACAATCCTCTGTGTGGAATTTGTTAGGGGATGCGCAAACGCCAGCCGTTCCATGATCTGGCCCCCTTGTTGGTCCGTCGCATCTGCCGCACGGCCCGTTGTAGGTAGTACTGGCGCCATAACACGGAAATAGGAACCTCCTTGACCCCGCTTCCCCCGGTAATACAGGTGGCCATGCACCGAATTCCACGAACGATTTATACCATCGAGTCATCATCCTAACCTTAACTTTGGCATTAACTCTAACCTTCATATTAGGTGTTCTGGAAATTTGCACAAGAGCCCCGAAGAGGGGGGAAGAGTTCCTAGTC